CGGAATGGACATATGTCTATTCGAAATTGACATATGTCCATTCCGAACTGACATAAATTCCGATCTGACATACAACACCTCTTTGTCATCGCCAGAAAATTGGTAATCTGCTTAAAGGCAAAAGTTCATATATATTCATAAAAAATGACAGTCATATTAATTAACATCCTCCTGAATCAAGGATTATACAATTTTTTTTCCATTGACAACTTTAACTAATTAACTTATATCAAATAATATGACTTAAATTGCTACATAAAGTAAATACCATGTATGGTAAATTATGCTAACAAATAAAAAAAATAATGCCTAAATAAATTAAATTCGATAAAAGTTACCTTTATTTATAAAAAATTAGCGCATAAAGCTAACGATGAATTAATTTTATCAAATTTTATGTATGGCAAAAACTTGGTTTGGTTAAATAGTACAGACTACCAGAAGTTAAAGTCTATTTGCTAATAATTGATTGTAGCACCAGTGGAAATAGAATCGTGCATAGAGTAAAAAGTCCTAATCTTAATTGCTCTTAAATGTTTGGAAAATTTGCTATCAAGAAGTCCGGGGAAGAAAAAAAATTTTTGCTACTTTTTTTTATAGGTACAGTAAAATATTGATAATCATTAAATTTTCTTGCAAAAAATTGTTCTGTTAGTTATAAATGCGAATGGTCCGAAAGTTCTGATAATTAAGTTAGGAAAAATAATAAACTGTTTATTGTTTTCATACTAAATACTGTTTTGTATGAAATTAACGGTTCAAATTAAAGTAATCTTGGTTTTTAAAAGCGGATATTTATGGCAATTTTTCGTGCACAATTAGATTAATACACTATTATCACAAACCCAAGCGACTGTATGTTTAACTTATACCACTGAATAATAACGGTTTTATGAGTAAAAGCAAAAGGCATGTGATAGAATTTAATTGGCATGTCAACTACGCAATAGAATATATTAACCCTAAAATTATAATCAAATCTAGTTCTTCGATATTCACAGTTATTGGATTCTGCTGTATATTTCCTATAATTGCGATAAGTGGGTATCCTTATCTGCAACACAAATAAAGATCGTACTGTGTGCGTGTATTATATAATGTTGAATGCCAGAACCCTAAGAGACGGAACCGCTATAACAAGGGTATATATAGTACAAGCTAAGTTCAGTTACCAACCTCCGCTTTGCGAGTAAGATAGTTTATCACTTAAATGTAACAATATTAATATTGTGTCACAAAAAATTTTATTATACAACAGAAAGAGCTAACAAGATTGGCTCAATTTGCTTTTTGTATGATTTACTTTAATTGAGAATAATTCGGCATAAACTCTTAATTGTTCTGTAGTCTAAGAAAATTATATTTATAGTTAAATTTTATCCAAATAACATGAAATTTATTCGTTATAAACCTTACCATGTCTGCAAATTCTTGTTTACTGATGGAATTATTTCTTACGGCTGTATTTTCACATTCACCAACTGGTTCTCTCGCCGACTCATGTACAATATCAACCAGGTCGTTATTGGTATCTTTTTTTGTTTCCAGCGCTAAGACAGGTTCACTTCCCGTAAAGTCCAATTCTGGGTCAATAGCTCTAGCTTTTCGACCGCGTTTCGGTTTTAAGAGGTGCTTTATTTTTTTGCGAGCGTTTTGGGCAATAATATAGACAAATGTATGACGCAGTCAGTGAGCTGGCTTGTGCTCTCGTATTTCAGTGTATTGATAACTGACGCATAAAAATCTGTCTTACCATAGTCGCTAACTCTTTTTCATCACTGCTACTCTTTGAAGCAGTCAAATTGTTATTTTTATTGCAGTCTCCGGCGTGGACCAACTTTTTTGACAAATTAGGTAAACAGTCTTTTCCACCGTTTACTTTGTCTTGGTTATCTTTTTTTTCAACTACCATGGCTGCCCTCTTCCCTGAAATACAAATTTTGCAAAAGTTTTGTTGGCTTATATCCTGGTCTACTGCGTGTGCAAGCAACGTGAATAACGTATGTTCAACGTAATAGATTATTAGACCGTCTTTATATGCCCAAGTGCACAACTTGTGATTTCGTAGATAAGATGTGATTTCTTCTTAATTATCACCGTTGTACTTACAGAGATTGTACACATGATCAGGCATGGAACAAATATAGTTAGAACAGGCACAGTCAAATGACTATACATGTAAACAATAAACAATAGACAAAAAAATTAAAATTTTTATAATACAGTTTCATTAAAATTATTTGGCTTTAACGGATCGTGTGCTTTGTCACAGAAATTTAGCCGAACAGGACTTCCGTCAAAATAAAAAATTCACGAAAAGCACTTTACTTATTGAAGCATAATATTTTATTAACTATTGTTTTACAACAATAATTGTTCAGAGTTGAAACTAATGTATTAAAGCTTTTATAGATGTTTAGTAATAAATATATTGAACCTGATGTCGAGTTGACACAACCGTTATTAGTATGGATACACTTTTCGTTGAGAAATAAATGGTTTGGGTGGTTCTGCGGTTGATTTTTTATAAAAAAGCGATTCGTATTAAAATGTAAACAATAGACTGATGAAAACTTTGTGAAACGGTGATCAACCGAAAGTTTTTGTATAGATCTCAGTTATACGACCGACATACCTCGACATAACGGCGGGAACTCGTTCGAATACTCAATTATTATGTATAGTACATTCTATACATTATTTTTGAGGTATATCTTGATACCGGAAATTAGTCCCCCTAGTCATTTGTTATTTCGTAACACAAGTAAATAGAACGAACAATACTTAATCTATTTAAGTTTAAACAAAACAAAATTATTAGCAAAAAGCTATGGGATTTTAAATTAGAAGCGCAGAAAAACATACGAAAAGATCTTCCGGAGCTCATTACTACTACCAAATAGTTGTTTTTATGTAAAAGTCCGGGGTGACTGATTAGCTAACTTGATTCAAGACTCTTTGTCCCTGGCTGGCTTTTATTTTATACACAAGACTAACTAACTGAGAAGTAAACTTTATTGAGCATTCTCCTTTCAATTAATTCTGTATTAGGACAACTGGGCACGCCTCGAATGGCGTTCTCACGAGCAATTGATAATATCTATACAAATATAACCAAATTTAAATGTCAAATAAATCAATTTTCTATTTGTTGCCCATCGCACTATTTATGTCACATGCCACGGAATATGCCGAAAACAACGACAAATTTATTATAGACCAGTAATATACACTATATTAACTATATTAACAATCTTTCAAAGGTATCAATCATGTCTTTAAGTGTATCAGAATTGAAAGACTTTAACATCTTCCGGAAACGATTTCATGATCGTATGTAATTCCTAATGGACAGAACGAGCTGGAATCACTCTGTGTTTATTTCAAGCACATGCATGTATTATTCCATTTTTTAATGTTTGCTACACAGCCCATCATTACAGGGTGTAATGTACGAATTTTATTATTTATGTTATTATTCTTCAGTATGAGACTGCATCATTACTGATCTCTGCTTGTAACTTAGGGTGTTTTTGTTTCCTGACAGTACGGAAAGTCTCGACTTTTGATTTATTATAACTATTCTCTATCGCCGATGCTTATCTAAACAAAAGTGCGATTATCGAAGGAGTAAGTTTGATATATTGCGAATGACTCATTGAGGATACAAATGCGACAAAGGAAATGATTGACAGATCTAATCTTTGACCGCCCATGGCAGAAATCAATAGTGGCCGGAGGACTATTGTCTATTCAAACCTGTATTTACCCGCTCAAAGCTTCCATACGAGACGTTCGATTACCTATTGTCACATTGAACTCTATTTACTGTCCGTTTAAGCTAGTGATATTTCACGCCAAATCCTTTTTGAGGCGATATTCGACAGGCAACCAATAAACGTCAAAGTCTCGATCTAAATGGAGCTTAGAAGCATAGGGTCTTCTCCTCGAGACACTCATTCGTGGCGCAGGCAGTGCAGTTTTGGTACGTGCCGTTTTTTTACTGGCTGCATTTTCCGTTGCACATGTAGCACCATGGAACACTGGGTTACTTTTTTGAGATTCCTCTGTTGGTCACAAGTACGCTTGACTTTAACAATACAGTGACACCTCCATAAGTGCACGCCCTTGGGACTCAGCATTTTGTACACTTAGGGAGGGGGTGATTATGGATAACGAATAGAAAACTGTTACACACTTTACTTTCTTTTTATTATCGAATTTCCGAATTTAGCGATCACATTCTAAATCAGGCCATACTTTATATGTATTAATGTTAGTTTGACGCATTAAATTATATTTGTTCAATATTCCGTAATTGCGTTGCTCAAGTGCAAACAATTATTTATTGTACTATTGTGCATTTATTGTGTCCAGCTAGTGAAGATTTTACTTTGCGACTGTAATGTATTTGTTGTGTTGTATGTCAATTCCGTCACCATGTAAATCCCGACCAAGGTCTCCAAAATTAAAATCCCCGATTAGGATAAAAAATTTTTTTCATCGATTGAAATCTGTTGAGTAATACTAACAATGATAATTTTACTTACGAAATACGTCAAAGTTTAAATAAAATTAATAATTAAGACGGTTACATTATCTTTATGCATTTCTGCTTGGTTTTTCTATAATTACATTGGCCATCATACATACACCTTTACAATTACATCAAACTTGACTACCTGATGTACTCTAACTCTCTTGCCGCCTCTCTACACTTACTATTCATTGAGGTATTTTATCCAATTCAGGAAACCCACCAAAAGCGACATTCAGAATTCCGGAAGTGCATCCAAGTTGATTCTTATTGGTGCGGGATACAATACAATTGTAAGTAAACGTGGCTCAAATATCATTGTGAAAATATGTTTTAAGTTACTAAATACGTTGGTGATTCTTCTTCTATGGTGCGGCGCGGTGACGTAATTTGAATAGAAATACGATTGCATTAAAATAGCGCAATCAAGCATACATTGCGAAAAAAAAATTGCATTGAGCAGTTGAATATACTAGTATTGGTTCTCCGATTGGTGTGAAGAATAGGAATACACTTGTATTAAATGGCGTAACAACATGGCTCCGACATATCATGATGAAAAAATGCTTTAAATAAGTTAGCGTAAGTTTTCAATGGACAAGATTAAAAAATATGCTTTGAGTTACTAAATACATTAGCTAAGCTATAATTCTTCGATTGGTGAGGATGCAAAATTCGCTTGTATTGTTATGTATGGAAAATCGATTTATGGTATTAGGACTTGAACAAAATTGGTTTAAGTGTAGATGCGTTTATCAACTGTTTATTCCAATGGTGCGACAGGAAATTACCAGCTAAACTGATTTATCCTAGCTCTGCCAGATATCAGAATTTGTTTAAGTGATAAACGGAAATGGTAGTATATAGTAGTGTACTGTTTTACTGTAATGTATTGTCTATTGTCGTTTGAAATCCTATCGATACAATTATATTGATGTTTAACATTTGAGAATTATTAATTTTGAGCTAGTCATACAACTCAACGACTATTCTATATCAAATAATTTATTATGACCGAACATACGCCTTGTAATTTCAGTATGCACAATTCGTCAAATGATTACGGCCTACGATTAATGTTTTTTGATTGGCCAATATATAGTACATCGAATGTTACAATTACTCTCGTTGAATTATTATGGTTTATGCTCTTTTTTCGACAACTTTGGCCTAGCTTATTTTAACGTTACTGATCATTTTGCCGATAGTAAAAACATACAAACTTCAAATCTCGATAACTTTTGAACGAAACAAGTTATGCTCCTAAAGTCTGCATTTCTACATACACAAAAGCTGCTCTACAAGAAAATAGAGACATTTTTTCGCCGGCTAATTAAACGATATAAATAATTGAGTAGATCATGCTTAAAGAGAGAAATAAGCTTATTGTCTAGACTGCTAGTACTTTCTTTGTTATCAAACCATTTGCTGCAAATACAGTAAATTTGTCTTATGCTATGTATATTCATGTCCACTAATTATTTGTTTACGCGAGTAATATTAAATAGCAAACATAAATCAAAGTTGAGAATAATACAACATAGAAAATCAATGTTGTTTCTTTTTCGGTTTCTTTTTCTTCTTTGCAACAGGTGAATATCAATCATTTTTGTAGCGGGTTTATCAAAGGTTGGTTCATTTGGTGAATCTAGGAGAAAGAAATTAATTGTAAAATTTAAGATAAAAAAGAGAATATAAAATCTCGACATACCATCCTCAAATTCAACAATAGTCCCTCAAACTCTAAACCCCATATTACACGTCCAGTCCAAGACTCCTTTGTCGCCTCATTTCTGTAATCCCAAGTGACCGTAAAACATTAAAATTGAGTCCCACATTTGAACACACGACCGTAGCAGTCCAGAAAAAGAACTCCAGCGAGACTTTCCCCGATGGTAATGATATAATTAAAACCATGCCGTTTAATGATTTCCACATTACATATACAAGTAGAGGGATCCCCACCTTCAAGATTACAATTAAGATAATTTGCAACGCGTTTACGATCTTTTTTATTTGCGACTAACATAAATGGATTTTTCGGAATCTTGCTACCTTCTTGAGATTTATTCTGCTTTTCACCCTTCGGCACATGACACATGGTTTCCGGAATTCTTGCTTCGGTAGATTGAACGTTCGGGACCACAAGACGACACAGTGTCTTCGACTTCTCTTTCGTCCATGCATTGCCCGCCAAGACACCGGTTCGGCGCGCAGTGCAGCTGCCCCAAGAATAGTTGCAACGATCGGATTCTCTCCTGGTTTGGGCAACATCATTCGAATGGCACCATTGTAATATCGGTATAGTCCCCCTCGACATTGCTTTTGATTGCTGTTCTCGTACAACATCTTGTATCCTGTATTCTACTACGAACTGACGCCCCGAACATAAACTGGACTGCTTTATTTAGCACTTATATGAATATCTGAATAGATAAATAAAGTAGATTATACACACAGAAAAGTACACTATTAGTCAAAGAGTGAGCAGATAAAGAAATTTAAAAATGCCAAGCAAGTTGAGATTATTTCTTCTCAACTCAACGTACAAGCGCTGTAAAACTCGTTCAATTGCATATTCGAGTACTGAGGTTCGAGTAATTACAAAGACATATTGAGCGTAATTGCATATATAATTTATAAACAATCATCGCTTTATTTTTAATTGATTGTATTAGAACAATAGAATATTTGATAAAATTATTGACTTATTTATGTGTAATAAAGTAACAGACGTTCTTTATATGACTAAATAATACAGTACATCAATTACAATTTGACGGTAAAGAAAAGAAATAATAATTGATAAACAAAATGAACGGAACCGGTCTATTTAAAAGGGCACACTTTGAATTCGTGACACTTGCGATAGCTTGTATTCTCTCAAAAAAATTTGTTATAACTAGATTTGTAGCTTTCTTTTTACTAATTATTGTCGTAAAATTTTCTATTAATATCTTTTTTATTTGCACGTTATTTCTTAGTAGTGCAAGATTCTTCCCCGTACGATAAAAAGATTGGACATCTCCGGTAAAGCACGACGAGTGGTCAACAGGATTTCGTACTTGTCTTTGTAAAAACTTGAAAAGTTTAAAGCATAATAATTAACAAGAATATCTTATCAATTCCATACAACTTGTCCGTATTTGTATAAGCTTGCATATGTCAATAACTACAAGTTATTGATCGATTTCTTATCCATTTAAGAGCTGCGATTATGATTGACTTGAATTAGTGTCATCGTGAATAATTTAGCATAGTCTCTCAATTGTTGTGTAGTCTACAAAATATATTGCTGTTAAATGTTGTCCTAATAATGTAAAACATATTTGTTATAAAGCTTACCATGAGAGCAAACTCTTGTCTTCCAATACCATTATTTATCACGGTTGTATTCCCATACTTAACAACTGGTTCTTGCGCCAACTCATGTACAATGTCGACCTGCTCTTCTACCATATAAAGAAGGTGCCGATCTTCTTTATTGTCAACACTTTCTTTTGTCGGCCTACGTGCTAGTGAATTTTCCCCCAACACCATAATAGGTAAATGCCCTGTGAAGTCCAATTTTGAAACTTCTTTGGCTTTTCGATCGGGTTTGTTTACTAGATAAGTCATTGAAGTTGTTGATAATATTTATTACCGGTCATTCAGCTGCTTTATATATACACAAATGGTTCATACCACAAAGTATTCGAGAATACATTTATTGGTCCACCAGAAGTCATATTCTAGTTCTTTAGCTGTAGATTTCAAATTGTTTAATTTACGGATAAAAATATCCCATCAATGTTAAGTGCGGCGGAATTGCCGGCCATCAAATATGACAACTATAAACTTTAAGCAAGTTATTGATTGGTACACTCAATGCGCGAATCTGCAGAATTAGATCTACAAAAATGATATAGATTTGCAATAATCTAAAGCTTTCCGGTCTGAGCGTCCAAATTACATTTGTGATACACTCATTATAAGCGAATCAGTTGTTTTTGAAGTGCGCCACAAACTTTTTACGCTGAAAAAACCCCCACATTTGATATCAGGACGATAATGATATTTAGACTAAGGAGTGTGACAATTTTTAGAACAGAGTAGAATTTCTTTTGACATTTTAATACTAACTTAATATTGTTGCATAAATTCCGGAATAACTAATTATTAATTAATCCAAGACACTGGCATCTCCGTTTATCGGGGTTTATTATATACAACTTATTATTCAAAATTCAATTTATTGCGCATTCATAATCTTTGAAAAGCTGTCAATAGACTAGCCTTTGATTCGAGTACATGTATGCAATGTAACTCCATGCGTCTGGAATGATGATTTTCGGTAATCCCAAACGAAAACCGTTTGGTCCCCAAAAATATTTCAAAGCTTAGTAAGTATTAAGACATCGGTTAAATTTTTAGGAATGTTATTAACATAGTATAATTGTTGGTCTACAATAACACCTACTTATGTACTCGGACATTCAGCGTCTGTGAGTGGATGGACATTATGGGATACATAGTTTCGGGCATAAATATTATGAGCAACAGAGTAACATATGGAAAAAGCGAGTTGTTTGTCATTCTACTAATAAGCTTTATTTATGTTACAATCTTCCTTATTTATTGGCGAAGAAAACTTAGTCACAATGTTGCTTCTTCCTCTTCGCATCTATTGGGCGTTAGTAACTATGCTTTGTTTGCTCCTTTATTTGATTGGTTGAAATTGCCGGCGCTCCCTAATCTGCAGGTGGCTCTTGCAATGCTTTTTCTTCATTCTGATTGGATATTAATTCCAGGCACACTAATTTCTTTCAATTCGCAAATTGTGTTCGTTATACTAATACGGCGCATGGTATTATAATGACATGTGTCCGCACGAAATTTACCATTTCTCCTTCCTGTACTTACGTATTTTGTACGAAGCAAATTCACCACTGATCTTGTAATATAGTTTCATTTTTTCCGATTATGTGCATGAAAGAAAATATTGCAACCAGAGAGTTGTAGTAACGTTTGACTGTGATGCTTTGTTCTTTTTTGAAGCTCGGCTATGCAGAATCGGGGCACAAACGGCAAAGCAAATAATCCGCCTTATCTAAACCAAGCTTTGACATTCGTTGAGTACATCATAGCAACTGTTATATCATTCAACTATTCGAGACATAAATGGGTGGGTCAGTCATTTTGTCTGTGGTACAAGAGACCATACCATACATGTCTGTCGGAGAAACCGAGTTGTACAAAATGCAAATCTACGGAAGCAACCCCGAGGCCGTAGATAAATTGGAAAAAGAGTTTGGTCTTGATAACAAGTTATTCAAATATTTGATATTTCTTACTGTGATCGTACGCAGGATTATATAAAAAAGAGTGCAGAATAATGAATATTTCATCTTTAACACTACATTGCATAACGTAAATCTTTCCCACAGTATCTTACCCTTAAATAAGTTTAATACCACCAATAGCCCTAATCTCCCGGTTCACACCCAATATGATAATGCTAGGCTAGTTTCCAAAAGAAAAGTCAAGTGCTTGTAAAATGACATGGTTGTCAACGAAATGTACCCGTCGGCAACAAAATAAATCAAACTGTTTGAGAGTAATATTAAAGAAATGCACGAGTTACGCCCTTTTTCCTTGATACTACGTAGGATGACAAAACATTATATTAATATTGTTGACGTATTTTATATTGATTCTGTAATATTAGTGCGAAAATTACGCAACTAATAAACAGTTTTAATTATAAGGAACAAATGCAATGTAAGATCCTTACAACCCACACTGGGACATACAGTATTTTGGCTCCCCATATATCACGAAAATAAAAGCTGTCTTTTATATTATTGCTGTTTTCAAAATGGTGCGATCATCACAAAATAAAAAAAAAATTTTTGAAAACGATTATGAAAACGATTATAAAAACGTGACTACAATCTACCAATAGAATTAAGGAGAAAAGTGTTACACAATAAATAGGTGTGAGGCGAATTTAACCCTATGCAAGAGAATGGCTCCTTACAATCTCGGCGCGTGCTATATGTGCAAACTCTGCTTTCATTGCGGAATCGACAATTCCGTATCTACGTGTTCTTGCCCGAAGACGCCCAAACCAACGACAAGACGGGTCACAAAAACTTTTTTTAGTCGCATAGTATCCATTACTACCACTCAACCGTTGCAATTGGAGCTTTTAAAAGATAAAAACCAGGAATTTGATTACAGAAGCGATTTCTCAAATGACTTCAATATTAACCTTTGTGGCAGATGTCACAGCAAGTACCAAAGGCATAGCAAATCAGCAAAAAGACGGCAGCAAGTTCCGCAAACAACTCTCACATACAATACACCTCTCACCGATAATGCACCTCTCACCGATAATTCATCTCCCACTAATGATATACCTTTAGTATCTGACACACAAGACTTTACACAAATTAATACTTTATTGGTTGTGAATCCTTTGAAACTTCCTGCAAAAAACATGACACTTTTCTCTTTCGAAGTTGAAGAATTGGTAGACTTTCGTTTGCGCGTGTTGCAGGAAGTGAGATTGCTATCGGAGAATACTCACATAAAATCAAAAGATATGATTCTATCGTATCGAACGACTAAAACAGGTGTCGGGACGGCATTGTGTGTTGATGACGATTATCGGAAATTCCTGGAGGAGTATAAATTGCTGCAAGTGTCACAAAAAAAGAAAGAAATGACAATCATCGTGACACTAAAAAAGCCACTAAAGCGTAAGGACATGTCAGATGATGAGGTACTATATATTACGTATTAATGATCGATGTTACATGTATGCGATAATAATGATCCTTTCCCCTTAGGCATCCGCAAGTACGGACGCAAGTGAAGACAGAGGAGGGTGGGGTCGTCAGAAGAAAAAGAAAAAGAAGAAAAAAACGAAACATTCGGGCCTTGACAAGGCAACCGAGGAGAAGGCAACAAAGATAAATGAAATAAGGAATCGATATTACTGCAGTGAACATGGTCATCCGTGCCTAATTGACGAAAATGGTCATCTCAAGCTCACAGCAGCGCATTTAACAGTATGGGCCTACGACTGGGTATATATCAAAAAGCAATGTTTCTTTTCTTCTTTCTTTCGATCATTCTCATGCCATTATTCGTCATTCACAGACACAGGGAGTAGCGGGTTTAGATACTCCACCTACACACCCAATCTTTCGTTCTGTCCAAAAAAAGAAAACACCAATTAAACAACTAATCTCACAATCACTTCAATCTGCCTCAAATATGCCTCATTACGCCCCTCCGACTTGTACATACTGCCACTGTCAACAGTTTCTGCCGTCTCAACATTCATATCATCACCCATTCAATTACATGCCTCACCATACGGCAAAAAGGAAAACACCGACTATGCATGAGTTTCTTGAAGAACTTGACAAAACGCATGGTGAAGGAGAGTTCACTCAGTATCTGGACATATTCTTGGAAAATAAAATTACGATATCTAGCATTAAACATCTTAATGATAACTATTTTAATCTAATGGGTATTGACAAAATCGGGCATAGAATTCTTCTTCTTCAAGCGGCAATTGATTGCGAATAACAATATTCATTGTCATGTGTTGTTGAGTTATGATTCAATTAGTATGTGGGTTTGTTTTTTGTCTCTTTTTTTTGAATTTGGGAGTTATCTCAGATCGGAGACATTAGATGGTTATAAGAGTTTGGATGAACATGTTCTCAAATGCTTTAGGAAACATTATAACATTTGATATAGTATGAGTGACGTTTATGCAATTTATATTGATAAGAAAATTACGGACTTTAATTGTCTGATACGTAATAAATAGAATTTTGAAACCAAGACTTGGCTAATTCAGGCGTAATTTGAGCACATGCAGTTACAATTGGATAAGCGGGATCCTCACTTGTGAAAGCAAAATCTCTCCATCTTTTTAGCCAATGTTTTATAAAAGAAAACGCCTGCTCTATAGGGTTAAAATCAGGTGAATATGGTGGAAGAAAGAGTACACACCCACCTAATCCTTCAACAACTGAAATCCATTCCTGATTGTGATGAATTCTAGCATTATCAAGAATTATTACACTATTCCTTCCAGGATAGCGATTCATATTTGGAATCTGAAAGATTATAGTCAATTATGGAATGAAAAATAAGCACTTAAATAATAAGGTATACTATAACTTACCACTTTTGAAAAGATGAAATTCTTGAACTTCTCCTTATCATAACTACCTTCTATGATTTCAAGTCCAATAATTCCCTCAAGGGATAGAGCTGGCAAAATGCTGTACCGTTTCCCCCTAACAAATACAACCTTTTTTTGAGCACGTACATTCCTAAATGCATATCCATACTCACGAGACAGCGATCTTTCATCCTTTGCACTCTCATCAATGAATATTAGTTGCTCTGCAGAATACTCCCCAACCACTGCCATGAAACTACTTCGTGCTAATTCATTTCGCTCTGCTGCAGCTTTATTGAGCTGGTTTTAAATAGATTTATTAGTCATCAGAATTTTGACAAGTTATAATGAATAACTCTAAACAACCAACCTTCTTCCTTGTTATACCACAAAACTTTAATGACCGCCATAAAGTGGGTATGGACGCAACCTTTCCAGTAAGTCTTCTCATTTCAGAAACCCATTCATCTAAGTACAAATCTACCTTCTGCTCGACCAAGGACTTGAGAACCTTGACAGACACTCATTAATACTCAATTGAATTAGCAAAGACAAAATTACATACTTCCATGTCATCTGCATCAAGCAACTTTCTTAGACCATGGAAAGGATCACTGACACACCCCCACTTCCTATAAATTCTTAAGACTTTCCCAACCGTAGTGCGAGAAATGTGCAAGAGACTTCTTATCTTCTTGTTTGAGTACCCATCATGATGCAAATACACTATTCTCCAACGTAGATCTTCACTAAGACTCTGTGGCATGTTCGTTCACTAAATAGTTTCTATAAGAGAGAGACCATAATCAGTAACATTGTTTCATAATCGTCTCATAATCGGTTATAATCGTTTTATAATCGTTTTATAATCGTTTTATAATCGCTGGTGTAACCTTTCTTTTCTCAACTTCTCTTGAGTATAGCAACTAACTTGTATTAAGCAGACCTGTTAGTTGTTCCAGAGAGAGTCAGTAATCACAGCTTGCAGGCGTTTCCACAGCGTTATTTGCTTGTTTTCAGGTATTATCACTATTTTCGCAAAAAAAAAATTTTTTTTATTTTGTGATGATCGCACCATTTTGAAAACAGCAATAATCATAAGGGTCAAATTTGAAATAACTGTCTTCATATAATAACGCTTTGTTTGCGTATCATAATGTGTTGCATCTTGGAACTATGGCAAGATTACGCCCAATGTGTATTCGAATTAAACGATGACGCAATGTTAATTACATTTACAGTAACAAATGTAAGTTAAGTGTAATGTTAACGTAACAAAGTAAGCTGTTAATACTGGTTTAGCTACCAATTTTTTATAGTCTTCTGTATAAGCTTTTCTTCTCATAGCTCAAGCGGATGGATGAAAAGTTAAAATGACACACAGAAAGTATTGCCGTCCGTACAAGAGTCAAACCGTACATCATTAAAACTATCGCCGGAAGCTGAAACAAATTACTCTATTACTTTTTAACGATAAACCGCACTCTTTGGCGAATGGAGCTAGTAAATCTAGTCTTTTGAACTACAATACCACTGGCAAAAAGAGACCTCTCAAGGGTCGATGTTGTCTCAAGTTAAGCATATACTACAGATGGCAAAATTTATTACTCAACGACGCTTGCACTTATATCTCCTAGAAAGATAACATTTCTTTTCCATTCAATGCTCGAAGTATAGGTGCCCTCTTGTATAAACTTATTTTAACGCAACAATTATTGGTGGGTTGAGTTGTTCATTGTAAATATATATAACGTTGTAACTTTGGCTCAATTGAGTAAAACACTAACAGGAGAGAACATTATTTTTACGCAATGCGAGAAATGTATATGTATTATAATTGGTACTACGTAAAATAACGTGACCGAATTGATGGCACAATGGCAGGATCATCAACACATACAAGTTCTTTCAATACATACTCCGTACTTCGATATGAGTGACATAGTTGACGTCGTTGATTTATCTTCGGGTCTTTCGTCTGACTTTGGAAAGCTTTATGAAAGTGGCAAATATACAGACGTTTCGATTAACGTTGGAAGAGAGCCGAACAACAAAATATTTTTTGCTCATGCAGTGGTGTTGTGTGCAAGAAGCATATACTTTGAAAGCAAATTAACCGGAAATACAGACTCATCTAATGATATCCAACAAGCAGCCATGGCATTTGAGGACGTCACACCTGAATGTTTTGAAATTTGCCTCAGGTAAGTTCTCAGGGACGACTATTTATCAGTATTAGATTGCTACTGGCAACAACATTCATAAGCAATAATTTACTTACCCGGACGCTTTATTGATGTTATAGATTTATTTACACAGGAAAAGTGACTCATTGTTCAAGTGAGGTTATAGATTGGATTAGGTTTTTGGATGTCGCATGCACATTCGGGTTAGATGATCTTGTTATCACCGTTGGAGACTATTTGATTAATCAACAGAAGGAATGGATCCAACGCAACGTTATTGCAGTTCGTAAACATGCTTTATCCTCAAGCTTGTTGACCAGGCTTTTGGATTATTGCAATCAAATCATGGTATCAACGCCAGAGATTATTTTTAAATCTGAAGATTTAAAGGGCGTACCAAAAGAGACCTTGATTACTCTTCTCAAACATGATGAGCTTAATATGGAAGAAATTGATATTTGGACATCAGTAATAGAATGGGCCGTTATGCAAATTCCAAGACTTGTAAATGAACCAAGGGATTGGTCATTTGATGATGTTGTTAAAGTCAGAGCAGTTATATACGATGTTATTCCCCACATAAGATTTTTTAATATTTCGACCGAAGATTTTCGTAAGAAGATTGTTCCATATGACGAACTATTAAAAAAAGAGTTGCGTCGGGATCTACTTCATTATCACATAGAAAATAACTATAAACCAACTATTCCAATGCTACCACAAAGGAAAGGCCAAGCTCAACAATTGATAGAAAGGGGTCCCCGTAATGCCGTGCGGGCAAAGGATGACTCAGAAAGCGAATGCGCAGCTATCAAGTTTAATATTGACTCAGTAATCATTAATGAACAACAAGCAGCATGGATCACACAAAAGATTATAGAATTAACTAAGTCAAATCAAGAAAATCAAAGAACACTTTGAATGAATAATAATTTTTATAAACTGACCCTACTTTATAGACACAGTAGGGATGGTAGTAAAACTGAGAACTTTCGAGAAACTTGTGCTGAGAAAGGACCCACAGTAGCTGTTGGCAAGGTATTGAATACAAAAGAAATACTTGGTGGATATAATCCAATTTCCTGGAAAACTATGGCTAGTCTGACTCCTTTACCTAGTTCTCCTGTCGTATGGTTTTCAACTTCAGAAAGCTTTATATTTTCATTAGATAAGGATAATGCAGAGAAAAACATAGTGAGTCCTGTTGTTGATAATAATTTTGCTATTGTGGAACATGCAATTTGCTATCCTTATTTTGGTTCTGGGGATTTATTTTTTGGTAATACTGATGGTACCAATCCTTGTGCTATAAAGTGCTCATACAAAACAGCAATAAGGTCAGATTCACGTAGGTTTAAATGGACAGACTGGGAAGTATTTTCAGTTTCAATTTAAAGTAAACTTTAGCTTATGAATGATTGTGCATAGTAAACATTTCGTAACATTTAACATATAATCTCACTGTCTTTTAGTAAATTGTTGGAATATCTTACATTTACTAACTGTTCTGTATGCCACACCACCATACTGGTTATTATCTACTACCTGCAATACTTAAAAATATTTTTACTTAACCTGAGGCTGAAATTATTTTATTTATTGAATTGGTCTTTCAAGTAGAATTGCAAAGCACATTTTTTGACATCAGTCAACTGGATTTAAATTTTGAGTAATAAAGAAGTTACCATTTCATTTGGTCAATACAGCAATGTTTACATGTGTGATTGATAGACAAGACCGTCATTATATAAGGAGCATAGTGAGTGGAAAGCAGCTAAGGCAAAGTAAATGAGAAGATATAGATAGTCGTTCGGAAGACATACCTTGTTTATTTGAAAATACTACTGAAACTTTTGAATCAAAAAACTGTGGAGATTCAAAGATTCTGTTTAGAATAACGCACTTAATTGAAGATTTGCTTTAAAGAAATAGTGGGTAGAGTGGAACGGAAAGTGTGGATCACTGTTGACAAAAGAAAGTAGACTTTACCCACCCACTAGGAAAACTAATAGCGACTTATTCTCATTGAAAGTAGTTTCAAATATAGAATACTTAGCGTATTAGCAATACTATTAGCGAAGAGATATGTGTGTAATAACTGGCTGGATATATTTGCTTCCAAATACCCGAAATTGTTCTCACCCATAGAATATCATGTACGATTTGAATTTAGATATGCCGCTTGGCTTGATTATTCGAAGACGCGAAATCAATTTTCGTCGTCAATCAGCACTAACACAACAACCAAGAATCCAATGCTCATGAAGCTTATGCTTTTCTTAAGCATAACTGTTGCCAACGTATATGACCCAGAATATTATGTACGATTTGAATTTGGATATACCGCTTGGCTTGATTCAAAGATGCGAAATCAATTTTTGTCGTCAATCAGTACTAACACAACAACCAAGAATCCAATGCTCATATAAATTATGCTTTTGTTAACCATGACTGTTTTCAAGGTGTATACCAAAAATTGACACAAATATTAAGTATGATTTAAATTTCGATATACCGATTCGCTTGATTTTTCCAAAGACGCGAAATCGGTTTTTCGTCATAATCCGGAATAGCGCAACAATCAAGCATTCAATGCTCATATAACTTATATGCTTGTTAACCATAGCTGTTGTCGAGGTGTACACTAAAAATTGACACAGAATATTAATATTAAGTATGATTTAAATTTCGATATACAGATTCGCTTGATTATTCGAAAACGCAAAATCGATTTTCGTCATAATCCGGAATAGCGTAATGGTAGATTTTGTGAAATAACACTGGATTAAATCAGGATTGACAAACTATTTGCTCAAACACACATATTATCTTACAGAGAACAAATGAAAGAGACAATGCAGTGCAGAAGCTTCAGAAACACCCAAGAAAGAACAAAAAAAGCCTGTCCTTTCTTCATATCTTGAATTAATTGAGCCGGATATTCGTATATGGAGCTCAATAACATACCTAATAGAAACGTAAGCTGCTCGGCTCAAAGCCTATAGTAAATTAGTGCAACTGTAAAACTAAGTGCTTAACTAATCGATGTGTTTGTCGCAAAGCTGCAGTTAATTGTAGTTTGAATTGCCATTATCATAAAGTTTCCAGCCTCCGTTAATCTGTCAAATTGCAATTTTGTTGTTGATAATAATATCTAACTATCGACGTGCTGTCCTTGTGCTAATCGTCTTGTTAGTGCCTATTTCGGTAATAATTATTTTTTAACAAATTCTTTGAATCGATGCGGTGTTGTATGGCTGCCATTCATGCGAAGCCACGTATGGCATCTTTTTGCTATATCTTCGTCGTCAATTATTCTGCTAGTTTTCCTCGACAAGATATAGGCAACGTATAATTGTTGTACCAATACTTTGCCATCTCTCGATCCTGGGTAGCTATCGACTTACGATCACTGTTATACACACACAATCTTGCTGCTTCCATACTTGCCTTCATTTTTTTCTCACCTTTTAGTAAACGCACTAAGTATTTAAATATAACTCTCTTCTCAACATACTCTTGTGCTGACATTGTATTAACCTCATTCTCCGATGACAAAGCAAACTCTTCATCTGATGAAACATCTTGTACTGATTCAATTTGTTGATTATTTTCTGCAGCTGCTTGGTTAAAAAACCTCTCTAATTTTGGACTTCACTTTGCAACCGCTGTATCCATGAACCACTCGGTCCCCATTTGTCATAATACGTCGATTTTGGTGTTTTCCCGATGTTATAAGGACCACGTCTGCTTTTTTCTAAACTTGCACCCGTTCTCCACTTCGACCAAAGATTATCCTGTCCCGGAATCTTGTTCTGTCGCCGAATCAACACCACTTCCCCAATCATTTACCTCATCTTTTCCAAAGGTTTTTCACTTGATGAATCATCGCTCAATCCCATCTCTATTAATTCAAATATGCTCGATTCTATATCGATCGGATTGAGTTCATCTTCTTTAATAAATTTGCCCCTCTTATCTCGAGACGCTTGTTTATGTGCGGCTTTTCTTTTAGTTGGTCGAGGTATGACATCTATAATCCGAAATAAAATACCCAACTTTCAAAACCCTAAGCCTTTTATATTAGAGGGTTTAGAGAGAAAACTAATCCGTGAGAATGATTAGAGCAGATAAAAGCTACGATTTAAAATTTTTAATGAAAGTCATGGGACATGTCCCGTGCAGGGGTTCAAAATGTTGTTAATAGTGGGAATTGACATGCCGATCACGATTATATATGAAATTCTTGCTCCGGCATCAGTTTCTCCTATAGCAAGACACAAATTACCCCCCGATGGTTTATAGGCAGAAAATGCACTTGAGAAGTTTGTATATTAGGTCATATACTCTTTGACTTCCTCTCCCCTTAGCTTTCCTAAAGATGTTGGTTTGAAGTTGGAATAGCTTACCCCCTGTAATAAGTATTAGATGCCAAACTTGTTAAGCGTTTGCTCAAGTATTTTATTACACAGCTTTATATCAACTCATTTAACGTTTCACTTGGGCAATAGTGATAGAGAAGTCTGCTAAATACCATACTGGCGAACTTTTTACATAAACTCGAATTTCGGTTACACGAACTTCCAGCTATTTGCGTGGTTGCATCGGCGGTATCAATTTGAGTGTATTATACGTAGTAGAAGTGCGAATATGAAAAGTCTATGCGTATGAACTGTTACAGTCACTTTTCTGCCTCTAACTGTAATATTACTATTGGTGTTGTTACACTATATATACATTAATTATACGCTTACTCACGAAGCTAACAAGTCATTCAAGTCATGTCTCTTAGCAAAACCTGCAGTCTGTACCAGATGTTAACAGTTACCGGATGTGAGACACATGATAAACACATTATACCCAACAGAAACCCAAAACACCCGATCGTAAGTAGTAAGGTTATATTGGACAATACCGTTGAATAATATCTTCATAAGCAAACCTTCGAAAGCTACAATAAAGACATCTTTGTGCCATAATAACATTTTGAAGTACTTTTTATTTTCTATCTAAAACGACACAAAACTGGTCTTAACCAGGCGTAACTGCTTAAAGATCTTAACTTTAGTACGAAAAAGTGGTCGTTTTGGTGTCTAAGTAAAGTCAACGTATAGTTAAGCAAAGAGCGTGCTGTTGGTACGTAATAAAAGTACAAAAGGCGGAGATTTAAGTTTTCTTAAGGTCTAAGAGTGGTTAAATATCAGCTATTGGGAAAATTCTCTTCTTGAAATCTTAGACGGATGTTACACAACAAAATTTTAACTATCAACCACATCGACTCGACTCGACTCTAAGTCCCAAATAAAGAAGTAAGCTTAAATTTCGTGTAACCTACTCCAATAAAGCGATAGATTAAGTGTTTTTCTCGTGTTATTGTTGTGTCTGAGTTTGGGATCTGTTCCAGTTCGGAACCCAGTCACTCAGTCCAGAACTCAGTTGTCTCAGTCCAGGTCCCAACTGAGGTACAAGATTATTATTTGTAACATTCTTTTTGTTTTACTATGTATGCGATACAGCATTGCTGTAATTGTACCAACGTATACTGGCAATAGCTTAGACAATTATTAATAGTGACTAAAAATACTAAAAATAGATCAATCAGCCTTTCCGAAAGATATAAGTAGCGTGGATTTCAGTTAGACTCGGAGTAGGTCCGTCCCATGCAATGTTTAGAATGTTCTGATTTCTTTATTGTAAATAATGAACAGTTCTTTACACTCTGAATAAAATAAATTGTTAATGATGCATTTTCTGGTAACTTATCGTTATAGCTAAGAAACCGCTAATATGGATAATCTCTTATCCTCGATTATTCGAGTGGGAAATTACGATAATTAATTGTTATGTAGATGCGCATTATTAGAATTGAAATATTAGTGTACCCAAACGGGAGACTATCAAATTAATCCCACGATAGTAACCGAGAGATTGACTCGAGGACAATTAATATATCGAAGATTAGTATCACTCTACAACGAGGTGCAAAGTCTTGATTGAACGAAGGTCATTGTACCCCGAGATTCGACTAGGAGAGGAGAAGCCACGCTCTCCTGTGATATATACCTTGATCTATTGCGCAACGCAACAATTCAACTATTAGTCTCGGCTAACCTCTTCTGTTTATTTATTTGTTAGTTTATTGATATGGAGGAAGTTGAGTTTAAATTGGTTTTCTGGTTAGCAATATTACTCAAATTTTTTGTCTAACTAAATACGAAATTCTGACGCAAGGAACTTGGTTCACTTGGAGATTAGAATTTGTTTTTTCTGTTCTTTACTATTTTTATTAAGCTGGCTCCTGCTTTGCCTCCTCGCTGTGCTTGCGTTTAATATACTATTCGGCAAGCTACCAAGAGAAACTAGTCAATTTGGCAAGTCAACAGTTTTGATGAAAAGAAACTAAAAAAAGGCGAATACCAAATTTTGCTGCCTGAGAAGGATTCTCTAATATATCCGTCGATATAGTAATGATAACGTACGCTTTTACCCATTCAATGTTATGTGGCTGTGTCCTACATTACGAATTACCGTATTTCTCGGACTAAAGTACCCCCTTTGCATAGTACCACCCCACCATTTTGAAGCTCATGGAATGTAAAAGACCATGGTCCTATGATCGGTTTGTTACACAAAATACTTGTAAAGTACCATGGTACAGCGTTTTTTATTATTATATTACCATATATTCCTAAAACCATCCACTTCTTCATAATCATCATCTACGAAAATATCATTCTCCTTGTCGGTTTGATCAACGTTAATGTCATCTAATCTCTCACTATCAAATATCAACTCATCCTCCGTTCCATCTGCTAGTTTTATTCGTGTTCGTAAATGCAAAATTTTTAAGTACGTTACAGCCAATAAAATAGCGATTTACATACTCCTATCATAATACCCCTAGTATAATACCACCACCCCGTGTATAGTCCCCATGGTACAACGAGGTTTTGTATTAGTATAGGGATTGACACATAGCACGTGAATACATGCTGATAATCATCGGTCCTAATATCGGCGGCGATTCTTCTTATACTCCGTACTTTGATATGAGTGACATAGTTGACGTCGTTGATTTATCTTTGGGTCTTTCGTCTGACTTTGGAAAGCTTTATGAAAGTGGCAAATATACAGACGTTTCAATTAACGTTGGAAGAGAGCCGAACAACAAAATATTTCTTGCTCATGCAGTGGTGTTGTGTGCAAGAAGCGTATACTTTGATAGCAAATTAACCGGAAATACAAAATCATCTAAAGATATCCAACAAACAGCCATGGCATTTGAGGACGTCACACCTGAATGTTTTGAAATTTGCCTCGGGTAAATTCTCTTAGCTAGAGACGACTGTTTATCAGTATTAGATTGCTGCCGGCAACGACATTCATAAGCAATAATTTACTTACCCGAACGCTTTATTGATGTTATAGATTTATTTACACAGGAAAAGTGACTCATCATTCAAGTGAGGTTATAGATTGGTTTGGCTTTTTGGACGTCGCATGCACATTCGAGTTGAATGATCTTGTTATCGCGGTCGGAGACTATTTGATTAATCAACAGAAGGAATGGAT